GTCACTGCAACTAAGAAAATAGAAACTTTACGATTTTCTGAAAGATATGTTGGAATACATGGAATTAGGGAAAAATTAGGTCCCTACGGTCTTACTCAGCTGTGTTATCCTTATCCCCTGAATGCACTAATCTCAGTGCTAAGGCAAGTGAGATTTGTGATTTGAATGCCTTTACCGATGCTCTTTTGTCGAACACCCACTCGTAACCTACTCCTGATTTCGCACGTGTTACATCTTCCTCTAAGCCCCTTCTGTCTTAACTTCTAACAGAAGACTTTCCATAACCCTGTAGTCTGGTGTCAGATTGTTTCCTTTTGAATCCTAATTTTAATATTGACTAGCTGTGTGAACTCTGGAAGGCTACTGAGGCTGATTAAGCACTCCCCCCACCCCTTTCTTTTAATCTGTTAAAAGTAAATGGTTGGAATACCTCCTTCAAACAGTTGTTCTGAGTCTTAAATGAAGTAATTAGTCCAATGCTTGGTCATGATAAGACTCTTGTAGGTGTCAGTTCTATTTCCCCTAAGGGAGTATCGAGTCTGGGTTTTGTTTTTTTGTTTTGCTTTTTTTTTTCTTTTCAATTTCTAACACCTTTTGGACTCCAGCTTCTACAAAGAATTTCAAGTATATATACACTGTACTAGGTTGACTAGCTATGTTTTTGAATTAGTCTATAAAACAGAATTTTTGTGTATTCTGCATTCTCACAAAGCGTGTATTCTCAGAAATGCAGTCTGTGGAGCCGCTGTATTGATAATAACGAGATGTTTTCAATGTTAGTGAGTGAGCTGTTGGCAGCATATAAGGGTCCTTTGAAGAACCTCAGAACTTGGAGAAGTTTAAAAAGAATGACCTTGAGAGTCATCCCCCATCCATCCCCCAAGAAAAGGATGGCAAAAACATAACAAAAGTGTTTATTTTTAGTGGAAACTGTTCTTTCATTGAGCAAGCACTGTGATGTGTTCGTGAAAACACAAGAAAAGCAGACACACCCAGAGTGATTTATTTTTTAATTTTTTATTATTATGTTCAGTTAGCCAACATATAGTACATCATCGGTTTTTAGTGTAGTGTTCAGTGGTCCCTTAGTTGCATATAACACCAGTGGTCATCACAACACGTGCCGTCCTTAATGCCCATCACCCGGTTACCCCATCCCCCCACCCTCCTCCCTTCTTTAACCCATAGTTTGTTTCCCGGAATCCAGAGTCTCTCATGGTTTGCCTCCCTCTCTGAAATCTTTGTCTTCAGTTTTCCCTCCCTTCCCCTATGGTCCTGTGCACTAGTCCTTAAGCAGAACAGCTCATAACCCGGGTATGGAAAAGGTCATTTCTAGAGCCCACAGAGCAAACGCTTTCAAATTGCATTCCCAAATAAAAGCTTTTATGGATAAGGAAGTGAGAGATGCAGGTGGCAAGCATCGTTCCTATTTTCCATTTTGTGTCATTTCTCTAAATATTTAGTCACTTGTGCATAGGCCATCATTGAAAATATAGTACAGTATTCAGAAACAAAGGTGCATACATTTACTGTAAGTATTTATATATACTGAGCATATATGTGGTTTGCATCATCTTCAGAGATCCTGGAGGCTCTGAGTGGACTGTTTTTGAATACCGGTCTATAGACCACATATGTGGTGACACATTTCTGGAAACTAGCCTTGAGTTCAGCTCTGGCCGAGATCTTCGCAACATTGATTGACTATGTCTGAGGAAATTCGAACTAATCTATGTTCTTTTTGCCTTCGGGTGATGCTATAGCATCGATTCCTGTCAAGGAAATAGAGCCCAGTTTAGAGACCATTTCAGTGAGGCAGTTAAGGAAGTGATTAATTCATTCTCCTCTTGGGTCATTGTTGATTGGCACTAGTATATTCCATAGTCTTTGCTCTCTGGATACCTTGGGTGTATGAAACAACCACATCAGAAACATGTTTGGAAGCCTAGACCACTGGAAATGTGTGTTTAAAAAAAAAAAAAAAAAAAAACTAAAGATCACATTCAGAATTTAGGATTCTGATTTAAGGGTCCTCTAACCTTACTACTCATTTGCAGGAAACACCCCAGGCCCTGATTTCTTTTTCTTTTGACGTGTTGGCCACTTGCTATATTAGATGATCCAAATGAATTGGCTGTTTCCCCTCCTTCCCTTTCCATGTTGGCAGATGAAAAGAAAAAAAGATGGTACAAAAATATTTAATCTGTAAAAGTCGGTTTCCACAGGGGCAGAGGTGGAAGGAAGAAACCTAATTGCTGCACTTTTAACACACATGTTTTCCATAGACGGCTGGTTTTCTTCAGTTTTCATAATTACAATTTCAGGCAGCATCCCTCCACTCCAGGATGGCTATCCCATTTGTGGGTTACCCATTTCCTGCACATTTCCTTCCTCCAGCCCACCTCTTGGCCACATTAACATTACTTCATGTCACAAACGATACCCCAGGTGGCCAGAACAGGTTCTGAGAAAGGGAAAATGACGTGGAAACCTGTCAAGGTTGCTTTCTGTTAAAGTGTTTGGTGAGGAGAGGCCCACACTCTTGGCCATAAGGAGACTTCTGGAATACGTAGACATTTCGGAAATCATTTCTTTCATGATTATCTCCATTAAGTAAGCATTAGCTGGCTAGGCATCCCTGACAAGGTTGGAGCAGCGAGCATCACAGCAGCTGTGAACTTAGAAATGAGGTTGAGGATATGCCCTCACTTCTGGCATGTGATCTGTCAGCCCAGTATTTACCACAGTCCTAGGTTAGACTTGGTTTAATGCGTAGTCTTAGAGGGGCTTACAGTCAATAAGACAAAATTCACATACAAGATCCAACAGTCAAGAGCAGTTCAGAATTTATTAAGGGGTTGGATTTATTAGGGATTGGGTTGTGTAGGACAGAATGTGTGTGTCTGTGTCTGTCTGTCTATATCCTTGAGTTCAGGGATGGGATAGAGCCCGATGAGTTGGCTGAAGTCCATGAGAAGTCTTTGTGAGAAGAAGTGTAGGAGCCGGGCTACACCTGGAAAACTGGGGGGAGGTGGAGAGAGTGGAATCTGGGTCAGTGTCGTAGTAGAGTGAATGTGTGGGTGTGTGTAGAGCCTCAAATGCCAGAAAGAAGTCAAGAAGGTGAGGAAAAGATACAGATGTTCAAAAAATATATAAGCCCTCATCCTCCATGAAATTGATATTACCTGTGGTGAAAAGTGGGTACACCCTTTGTGAGAATGAATCCTCAAAACTGTCAAGTGTGTTGATAACATTGGACGAAAGGCAGTCTCATTTGGAGAATAAATTTACAAATTCTTATCAGAGGCTGTTAGAGGCATCTGTCTCTCATTAGCTCCAGATTTTGATGGATGACGTTCGGAAAGAGATGAGCTTCCATTGCTTTAGGTTGTTGTTGGAACAAAAGCCCAGTCATGCCTACAAAGCCCTGGATGGTCTGACCTCTCTTCTGCTTCTGATTGGCTGTCTTCCAGACCATTCTGTCCCTCATTCCCTGAGCTTCAGCCATACACCACCTTCTTTCTCTTTCTTCGGTATGCTAAGCTCTTCCCCACCTTACGTTACCCTGGCATTGACTGTGTCTTCTACCGAGAAGAGACGAATGTCTAGGCTGTTGGGCAGAGCAGCTCTTTGTCACCATTCACGCACAGAGCCACCCAGGCGCCCCTCCTCTGGGAAGTCTTAAGAACCTGGGAAACAACACCCCTTAGGGATATTTCAAAGAGGTGGACTTGGAGGGGTCATTGTGTGGATTGGATGAATGTTAGTCTAACAGGAAAAGCTGCTGGTTTCATGCATTTCTTGCTATGTTTATACGTTGTAGCCATTGTGGAACCAAATGACTCTGAACCTAATGAGTTAAGACCCGATCTTTCTCCAGCCTGCCCTCTGACCATGGCACACATTCCTGTCCCCTTGCTCGATCCCTTCTCTAAGTACCGCTGACCAAGTGTGCCTGCCCCCTACCTGTCCTGGTGTGACAGCTCTGGTTAATTCCACAAAAGGGATATGACGAATCTGTTACTTTCTTTCTCATTCATGGTTTCTGACAGTAGCCCCTCTCCAGCTGACACTGTCCAAAAGCTGCCTGAGTTCTCTGCTTTGGCTTGTTTGGCTTCCAGGCTCTTGGTTAAGAAAGGATCAAGTGGGTGTTGTGTCCTTGCCTAGTTTGGGTTTATGAATGAAATGTTACAATGTGGGCGCCTGGGTGGCTCCGTGGGTTAAAGCCTCTGCTTTCGGCTCAGGTCATGATCCCAGGGTCCTGGGATCGAGCCCTGTATCGGGTTCTCTGCTCAGCAGGGAGCCTCCTTTCCTTCCTGCCTCTCTGTCTACTTGTATTCTCTGTCTGTCAAATAAATTTTTTTAAAAAAATTAAAAAAAAAAGAAAGAAAGAAAAATGATCAAGTGGGTGTTCTGTCCTTGCCTAGTTTGGGTTTATGAATGAAATGTTACAATGCGGGCGCCTGGGTGGCTCCGTGGGTTAAAGCCCCTGCCCTCCAATGAGGTCATGATCCCAGAGTCCTAGGATTGAGCCCCGTATCAGGCTCTCTGCTCCGTGGGGAGCCTGTTCCCCCCCGCCCCTGCCTGCCTCTCTGCCTACTTGTGATCTCTGTCTGTCAAATAAATAAAAATCTTAAAAAAAAAAAAAAGAAACAAAACCCAACAATGTTACAGTGCCTTTTTACGTGCCACTAATACGTGCTACGATAAAATGACACACCCCCAATTGTGCCACTGGGGTGTAATTTATTTGACTCTATTTTTTCTAAAGGATCTATGGCATTAGGACAGGGCAGAGCTGGCAGAAGATTTCTGTCCCACTTGCCTTCCCCAATCTACCCTTCCCACCTTCTCTTGTTACTATGCTAGAGACCCGTGCTCCTGCTCCGTGGGCCACCTCCACATTTCCATTAATGCACTCCATTACCTCCACAAGGAGGTGATTTTCCCATCTTCCGATGATTAGTCCTCCACGCTAATTCTCCCTCCTTCTTTCTTAGCACTGCAGTGACAACACACATCCCTGCCAATCAGACATGAACATCGAAGGAGCCTGGAAGAGAGGCTACACGGGAAAGAACATTGTGGTGACCATCCTGGATGACGGCATTGAGAGAACCCACCCGGATCTGATGCAGAACTATGTGAGTGTGTGCTGTGGTCGGAACCCCTTCCCTCCTGGGAAGTAAGGGGACATGAGTGATGATTGTCAGGAAGTAGGGATATTACTGAAAAACTCAGCTAACAGAGTAGGCTCTGCGTATTGCTTCGTCTTATGAAAAGACGTGCCCTCTGAGTACAGGGAGCACGAGCTACTGCTTTCAACTTTCCAATGCCTTTGATGTTCTAATGACACAAAGCAGGGGATAAGGTGGCAGAAACCCCACCCCACCACCCTCTGCTCCAGAAAATGACTGCTCTTCTGAAAGACTCAGCCTCGCAGCCATGCAACGGGCTCTGTTTCTCTTATGGAGGAAAACATACTTAGAACATTTCTCAAGTTTTTCTACTGGCCTTTCTCTCTCTCTCTTTTTTTTTTTTAATTCTTCTTTTTCAAAGGACAATAGTGATCAGCCTCCTACTTGTCCTAGAAGCAGTCACTTCCCTTTCTTAAGAAGGAAGTGTGATTCCAGGACTCCAAGAGAACGTAGGATGAGCCCAAGACCACAGAGCAAGGAAAGTGCTGACACTCAGTACTTTGAAAATCCTGGTTTTGATACCCAGGGCCCATGGAACATTGGGGTCAATTTCTGCCCCTTGGGTCTCTGGGTCCCCTCTACCACAATTGATATCTACTGCCCAGAAGAAATGTGTCCATGATCTCTCTAAACTCTACCCTCCAAGCTCATTCCTTCCATTGGCTTCTGCTTTCTAAGTTCGGTTGAGAGTGCCATAATTATCTCACAGTATGCCATTCTCTGTCAGCTCCAAATTTGTTTCCTGACACCTTAGTGTTCTGTCTAAAATATAGAGCATGGGGACACCTGGGGCCTCAGTCTGTTAAGCAGCTGCCTTCGGCTCAGGTCATGATCCCAAGGTCCTGGGATCGAGTCCTGCATCGGGCTCCTTGCTCAGCAGGGAGCCTGTTTCTCTCTCTGCCTCTGCCTGCCGCTCTGCCTACTTGGGCTTTCTCTCTGACAAAAAGTAAATCTTAAAAAAAAAAAAAGTAAAATATAGAGCATGTAACAATCCCCTGTTATCTGCAAATATAACTCTGATTCCCATGACGGCTCGGCAGAAAATCCCGTGGATCGCACTCACACCCATGTTTTCTGACTTCTCCTCAGTCCTCTTGTGACCGCTGTTTCCACCCAGAAACACTGATATCACTGAATGCCACTTTAACGAACCCCTTCACCCCGCCTTCCTTCCTGATTCCAAAATCTGGGCTGTGTCAAGTGTCCCTAAATTATATTTCATGTTGATACTGAAAAAATTTCTCTTAAAATCGGTGATTTTCTAGCCACTGAAAGTTTCCTCTCCTATCCCTGGAAATACAAGCAGCTCTAAATCATGGTGAAGTCTACTTTGCTACCCTTTGCAGGAGTCTTACTGACCCCAAAGGAGGAAAGTCACAGGTCGGGGTGGGAAGCTTTGCCCCGTGTTTATGGAGGGGACCCATAAGGAATCCTGAGCTATATGACTGGGAGGACCCCGTCTCTGCAGAATTTTGTCTTCTATATTCCCTTTCATGGTCATTAAAGGAGTGACTTCAGCCAGCCCAACCCACCACCCTATGCCTGAGCTGGCAGAGAATGGTGAGGCAGGCCCTGCCCCATGGTTGCCCCTGCCCAACGGCACAGATGACTTCCCGGCATGCTTGCTGCCTCAATGGACACAGAGTGGCCCTGGGGGATGTTGTCCTGGGCTCACTCAGAACGGACCTAACTTTTTCCTGAAGGCCAAGTTTCAGAGACAGGGATATGATGCCTTCTTGAAATCCAATCTCTCTCTCTCCTCATCTCCATCTCCCTCAGCATGAGAGGGTTTAGTTTCTGGGCACCACAGGTATCCCCTCCATGTCTTCTCTGGCCCCACTCCCTCTGCCTCTCCCTCTCTTTCTCTCGCTCTCTCTCACCTACTGCTTCAGCTTCTGAAACCATTTAGAGAGAGCTCGCCATATTGTTTCCAATGTTCCTTTCTCATTTGCTCAGTCTCACTTCTTTCAAGATATTGACTCTCAAATTAATTATCCTGAAGAGACTCCATTTTATCTTTGCAAATAAAATACCTTCAAGCCACTTCTTTGGTGCCCGGGAAACTCCCACTGGCTCACAGTGACCCATATTTCTGACCCACGGAGACCTTCCTCCACACGAACCCCCAGCGTCACCTCACACTTGAATCTTTCCTCACAGTCTTCCATCCTGTCAGCCGTTTCGTGTCAAACATTCAGCCAAGAAACTTCACAAATTAATTTTTTACAATGACATACTGAAACAATTTCCACTAAATTAGATGATTTTTCCCTAAGGTTAAAAAGAGAGAGAAAGAAGGAACTGCAAATTCATTTCCTTCTCATTTGAACAAAATGTTTGAGTGGCTGCTCTCACCCTGCCTCCAAGCACACACAGGCATTCACAGCATAGAATTTGAGAGCTAAAAAGAAATTTCTGTTCATCTCCTCTCTTGATAACGGTAGAAGCTGGGGCCTGACTGCTACAGTGAGTGAGCCCAGGTCAAATAAAGAACAGAATTGTGGGGACCTCTCTTCCAGCAGAGAAGTCTTTCTGGTCATACACAGTGTCGGTTTGGGGGGGCTGTTCCTGCCCCCCCATGAGCTAGGAATGTATTTGATGAAACACAGACAGCTTTAACCTAATTGTGATTGCATTCCTTGCCCCTTTCATTTTTATCCTCCCTTGAAACTGAATTCTCTAGAACATATCTGTGTGGTGAGCAGTACCAATGATTGTCAGTTGTCCCATGTTGGATCTGGTGAAGTGCAGAGAAAAGCACCTTGGATGGGGTCAGGGGGCACATGGCCTGGGTTTGAGTCTAGGTTCCACAGGCTGGTATGCTTCATGCCTTTGGCCAAGTTATTTAGCCTGTCTTAAGCCTCTCTTTCCTTGCAAGTAAAATTAGTCGGTTACACTTGATACCATTCATGCTCTAGTGACCCGTGGGGGGGGCGGCTGTGGGGCCACCTTTGTATGAGAAGCAGGGACTTACCTACCACCTTTGAATGTCCAGTGGATTTTACGTAATTTCTCCCGCTATCAGACTCTTTGGTACTACACATTATTTCCAGAAACCAGAGCCTTTGATAAAGCCTGAAAACACAGATAGCATTGACTTTCACTAAAACTGAAATCAGGAGTTACCCTAAAGCGTCAGAAAATACAAAACTTTCTAAATTAGTCCTACCTACTGTGATTTAAATTGGAGTAAAAGTATAAGCCAGTAATTTGTTTTTGGAAATTTAGAAAATTGAAAGAAAGAAATGTGGGAATCCAGAGATATTTCACAATCACTTTTAAAAGCAGACAGACCCAGCTTTGGCTTCACGGATGCTTTTGCCTCATTCCGAAGCCTTGACCTACAATAAAACTGTGTTCTTTATTTTGGTTGGGGCAGAGGGTCACTGGTTATTAGTAAAAAGTCTGAATTACAGACTCTTCTATAATAGTTACAACATCTGGAACCAGACAACTCTTGCCTGATGGAGATACGACGATAACCCAATATAATAAATTTCTAATACTGATTTTTAATTGGCTGGCCAGTTATTTGTGAATTATCTTCCAAAATCTTTGAATTACCAGGAATTTGCACACTCCTGAAATGAAGCAAGGAATAGAGAGAGAATCCCTGGAAAATAAATCACTTGGCTTCTAGAGAGTCCAAGAATACTTGGTGGTCACTGGGGACCTCTTCAGAGGAATTGGGTGAGAGGTCAGTTCCAGAGATGAGGGAAAATGTGTTGGCAACAATCGTCTGGGTTCTTCCTTGGTCTGTGGAGAGTATGTCTTCGCCTTAAGGAAAACAATACAACAGTGATTATCACTGAACAAGGCACCCTGACACCACCGAACCATGAATGTATTATTTAATCTAATTACTCTCTTGCAGAAATGTGTTGAAGAATGCATGAGCCTTCAGGTTAATGGCTAATTACTAAACGTCTGCCTCCTCCTCTTTCTTGCTCTCTCCTCTGTGGCTGTAGGATGCCCTGGCGAGTTGTGACGTGAATGGGAATGATCTGGACCCAATGCCTCGATACGATGCAAGCAATGAGAACAAGTAAGGCCCAGCTGAAGGGTGGGTGGCCTGTGGCTGCCCAGGATTTTTGTTTTCTACTCTTACTGAGGGAAGTATTTCTTTAGAAAGCCTTGGTAACAAATGATCTGTAAATTTGCTCCAAGGTGTCCTTCCACTAGCTTCTGGGTAATCAGAAGGGGGTGGTCTCCATGGCAAGAATGGTCACAGAGAGAGCCCTGGGGAATGACTCAGCATTTCCATATCTTGAGGGCACAGCTGGGGAATACTGCCTCTCATGAGGTAATTGGCCCCTGAACCGTTTTGGGGGATGGGGCGCTAAAGGGAAAGGCAAAACAAAGTATACCCCCCAAAAGTTACTTTATTGGGTTAAATTCAACAAATTGGGTTGACTCCTTTGCTTGAGGTCTCTGCCAAGGGCTTTCTTATTAGCTGCTCTGTTCTCTTCTGTAGTGATTGTGTTTTCCACTAATAGACGTGAAATACCTATAAGGTTCACCATGTACAGAACCCATTACCTTTCTTATCTTCACTTTCAAGAGTCATAGAAACCCATTTAAGCACTTTTCCACTCTCCAGTCAGTACAGTAGTTCTTGTGAGAGCAGATGAAAACACACAACCATTTGATACCATGGAATATCTTAACATTCTTCAGAAAGTAAATGGGAATGGTTTTTCTTGCTTAAGATGACCCAGATTCTTTAAAGGATTAGTAGATATTTCTAATCTCTAGATCACATTAGCTTTTTTCCTTTTACTGCAAACCTCCTCCAGGATAATGCTATGATTGAAACGCTATCATTTTGATTTTTACTTCCATGTGTTAGTCTGGAATCTCAGAAGTAGCAAAAAGGGGTGTTTTGCCCATTTTTTTATGTACGATTTCCAGCCTGTGTTTTTCTTCAGGAAAAAATTTCTCAGCAAGTTTGATCTGATTAACTAATTCAATAAGTTTAGCTAAAGTCATCTGACCTAGATAATTGTGACTGCACGTGGGTTTCTTCTTTGTCTTTTTTTCCTCTTTTCACCATCTCCAAAGAAGCCTCAAGAAAGTTACTGTGGAAAGCGTGCCATTTGATAATAATTCGGTAAACATTACAGAGCAGATTCAGCGGTAAAAGCATTAATGCATAAATTGATTTTGATAGAATTTTTCAGAGCCTTCTAAACAAAAAAACAAAGGAGTCTGAATTAAACTGGATAGCTTTCTTTCGGTCCTGGCCATTGCTGTCCAGATTACACTGTTTAAAGTTAATAGTGACTATCACACCAAGGGTTGGTTATAAGGTGAGGCAATGTGAACTAATGTATTTAACCTAATTTATGAACTAGCCTGAAACACTGATAAAGAAGCTTGAAGCTTCTTTTTTTTTTTTTTTTTTTAAGATTTTATTTATTTGACAGACAGAGATCACAAGTAGAGAGTCAGGCAGAGAGAGAGAGGAGGAAACAGGCTTCCCACTGAGCAGAGAGCCCAATGCGGGGCTCGATCTCAGGACCCTGAGACCATGACCTGAGTTGAAGGCAGAGGCTTTAACCCACTGAGCCACCCAGGTGCCCCAGAGCTTGAAGCTTCAATACCAAAAAGTCTCCACTGATAAGTTTCGCTATACAGATCATTCTACTGTAATGTGACATAGGCCTCCCTAAAAACACTTGTGCTCTGCAAAATCTAAAACCGCCAAGTATAAGACTGTGAAATTTGAGCTCAGCCCTTAAAGACTTCATTGGTGATGCACACACAAAAAATGGTAGGGACCTATTTTAAAAAAATAACCCGGTTGTACCCATGTTAAATGGTTATGAGATATGTAAAGTTATAATAAATGCACCACTTTATTTAGAAAAACACCTGAAGTTTGCTTGTGGAAGTGTGTGCACATTCCATCCGATCCTACTCCCGTGGCTGCCGCTTTGTGCGCAAGAGTAAAAAAGGAGGGGGGAAAAAGAGATGAAAATTTTGAAAAAAGAACAAAGAATAGGGAGGAAAATTAATCAGTTGAGAGGAGAGGGGAAAATGAAACAAAATGGAGGACACCCCCTCCCGCGGCCCCCCCAGTAGCCTTGGGAATCATGGCAACTTGCCAGTTACCGTAAGGTGGAAGGTGAGGTACTCGAAACCAGGGAGTAGCAGCTTCAAATGTGGACAAGTGTGGGGCACGGCGCAGCTCGGGTGTGTAGTTGTGCGGGGTTTGTATTCCCATGGTGATGCGTTTTCTACATTCACTGAGAGTTTCTAGGACCAAATTGTGCATCGACACATGTAAATTTCACATTACGCTCACACTGCTCTCCAGTACATCAGTGGTATCGGGAGAAATCTGTGTTTCTGAGGCAAGCCTTAAGGAGAACTGTACGATACTATATCCATGCATTTGCTTTATTCCACCAACATTTGTAGAGCGCAAAGAGGGACAGGAAAGCTACAGGAAAGACTCCATCATGTTCACACCCAGGGTATTTTGAGGCAGGATATTGAAGGGCAAGAGCGGCTACAGGTAGAAACCAGAAACAAATCATATCCTATAGGCCATCTTGTCTGAATTCACATGTGGTGAGTTTTTGCATTGAAACTCTCCGTGATGATGGTGACTGTTTCCCAGGGCGTGTCAGACATGTGACTAACATTGCGAACCACAGAGGCTCTGCTTCACAAGAGACAGCTCTTGGAGTGTCGGCTTGGATGGCTTTTTACAGGCTGCCTTTAAGAAACCGTATCCTTTGCGAGGATTCCTTTCAAACTTGGCCCTCTCCAAGACCTGTTCTCAAGAAGCATGGCCATGGTTCTGCTCGCTCTGGCTTCTCTGGTGTGTCCTGTTTTAACCCCTTCCAAGTATGGTCCAAGGTTCATTGAGGGCCGTGTGGGTTTGGTTCTCGGAGCACGCGGGCATTGTTCCTGATATGGGCTTGCCTTTGTAGTCTTGACGGTGAAATATGGCATTTCCAGAGGTACACCACCAGCATTCCCTACCTCTGTTTTAGGAGCGTGACCTGGGACAACAGACGTCCCTTTACCTCCTCTCAGGAGTGCCCCCTGATTTTTTTCTTGGCCAAACGCAAGCCATGTACTCTGGCATTTGGGGTTAAGATATCCTCTCTGCTCATTAGACCATAATTATAGATGTGATTGATGGATCTGTCTTTAAGCTAGATAATTCTGTTGGAATAGAAGTCACTTGGCACCAGGAAATTAGCAGTGACTTTGTAGTTCAGAAGAGCTGACGGTTAGTTTAGGGTCTCCTGAATCAGCTTTATAATCTTTGGGCCTGAGTCCTCTGAGCTTTCCTCCTTTTTGTTGTTGTTGTTTTTATCTCTTAAATTACTATAATAATACTTCCGCAGTTTAGCAGTAAAGTACCTAAAACACCAGATGTACAACTGACTACATATTAGGCGCTAGATAATTTATAATTAGGATTACAGCTGTTACTATAAATTATGTGTTCTATTCTTCTATCTCGTTCTTGATAAATAATCGATTGAAAATCATGGTCACCTCAAAATATATGTTCCTATGAATATTTCAGATTTAATGTAAGACTTAGAGGTCTCTATCTCCGAAGTTAGTGGTTTCGGTAGGTTTTTCTGCTGCTTTAGGTGGCGAGAGCGGTGACTCACTCAGTCTACAGTAAATCTGCTTTTCTGTAGTTCCATTTCCCCACCTCCTGGAGCAGAGCATGAGTCTTTGAATCTGGTGCCGGATAGCGAAGGGGAGAAATTTCTAATCGTCGTCAGAATGAAGCGGTTCAGGCATCTGCTGTGCAAACACCTCCTCTTTGTGTGATCTGACCAGTAGGCTCCAGAGTGTATCTGGAATAATTTCCTGCTTAGCTACATCTGTTCATTCCTTCCACAGCACTCCGCGAGATCCTGCTTTGTGAATGGCTCTGTGCTACATGCTTGGGGGTTACAGGATGAAAAAACTTGGGCTCCGACCTAATGGATTTAATTGGTAGATGACTTGAGAAGCCCTAATGCCGGATGGGTTTTAGTACAAAGAGAGAAAGCACCCTCAAAACTCCATGCCAGTCATCTCTTTTAGACTGACATGATTACATTTCTAGTGCTAAAGCTATTTATTGGGTGACGGAAATCACTGCAGAAGTACAAAAGTTATAAAAATTCCTTTTTTGTCGCTCTTTCACATCCCCCGTAAGAGGTGCATAAAGAAATAGCCTCAGTAGAGGAGACCATAAAAGCTGTCCTTCCGTTCAGCTTTGCCTGCGTTGGTATTAGCTTGTCGAGTAAAGGTGACTGTATTGTTCTAGGCTTAAAATAGAAAATGCCTCCCTACAAATGAAAGAGTCTCCTGGCATTTCATACCACTACTCCTGTTTCTGATAAATGAATTATTGATGTCTGTGTTAGATCTTCCCTTCCCTAGGTTGCTTCTTGTTAAATGTTCCCTCCATTTAAAAGTCATAGCAACATATTTAGTGGGAGGTGAGAGCACACATTGTATCTTGAATGGGTGATATGTGGGCCCAGAATCCAATTCCTTTTGAAAATGAACCAATCCATAGGTAGATGACTTATTTTTTAAAAGGAATTAATCTTTTTTTCATTTTTCTTTCTGATCTCTATTTTTCAGGAAGATTTAAGCAGAGTAGATGGAAGCACATTTTTTCTGGTTCTTTAGTCTACTTGTACATGTCATTTCTGGTTTTAAGAATGTCACCATGTTGTAGAAACCAAAGTGCGCATGGCCTTCTCTTCCTCTTACCTGCAGATGAGGACTGTTTTCAGGAGACAGTGTTCCCAAGCAAAGCCAATGAATGTAACCAGTGTTTTCCAAATATAAAGGAAATATTTTAACTCCATTCTAGAGGAGAAAGAAACTAGATCTATGACCTTATCTTTCCATCTATAACCTCAACAGTTAGAAGCATTATTTATGTAAATTTTTTTAATTCAAGTACAATTAACATACAGTGTTAAATTAGTTTAACGATTCAACACTTCTATACATCTCTCAGTGCTCATCAGTAGAAGCGCACTCTTAATTCCCTTTATCTATTTTGCC